TCATTAACAAATTTTAATAACCAAAAAACTGTCTACTGTAAAAGGTAAAGTAGGCCTAGCCTAGTAATTTTTCCCAACAGATTTGCTCTACTGAAAATTTGGACAAAAATGACTAACTAAGGCTTACTAGGGATGACCAATAGTGTGACAAAATAAGTAATAAAGACAATTCATATGACACAATACATTTGACAAGAATAAATAAGGCACAGGTGATAAATAACAACAGTAAATTACACTGGAAAAAATTGGTGACAAATAGGCTATTGCATGAAAAATGATTTATTTAATAAGACATAGAACACATATAACACTGACTCTACACTAGTTCACAAGGTGCTGATTTTAATTTAAAATAATCTGGTCATTAAGCCAACAAAAACACCTTGTGTTGGGCAAAGTACCACTTTAATTTAACAAAATTGGGCTGTAGGTCGTTTTAATACCCTACCTTGTACCTTACACCCACTAAATATTACAGACCAGCTAATGCCTCTTGCTAGGCTTAACTTTAAAATCGAAATTCACAACACTTGTTCACTAAATCCACTGTCCACTGCCTAGGCTCGAAAGGTGGTAAGATCTCCTGTAACATAAAAACAGACAAAACACACACAGCCCTACCTATGTCACACTAATCTTGGTTGGTCAACCTAGCCTAACCAATTTACACTTCCCTACCAATTTACTAACCAAAAACAGCTTAACCACTAGACTACCTATCCGTGTCGGTTAAGTCAGGGAAAAATGCACTTTACTTTTTGCCAGGAGAAAAAAAAATATCCCCAGAATGTACACTTAACTTCTTTTACCTAAAAATGAAACTGAAATTGCCTAGGTTAAGTACCCTGATCTAGGCCAAAGCCTGCTACCATATGTAGGGTGTGCGTGTACCATATGTGCGTGCTGGGCCCATAACCCAGAGGTCCGTGGATCGTAACCACGCTCTGCTACCATATGTAGCGGGGGGCCGTTTGGTGAGGGGGTGCGGGGTTAAGGTATGGGATGGAGGAGGGAAATTCGGGTAATCAGGAGGGAATAAACAGGGTAATGCTAATAGGTTAGGAAAAGGTGTGTCTGGACCAAACTTAATTTCAGCGTGCTGAATCTGCTACCAATACAATTAGGAAGATTGCTGGGGACCAGAGGGACGGAGACCTTTTACCCAGATCAGAACACTTGCCTAGCCAGCTTTGATTTGAACTAATGGAACTAACTATTTAAATATAAACCTATCCTTCCACTATGAACTGAACTTGGGTAATTACTTACTAATTATTGATGAGCAAATGAGTGATATGCAATTGAATACTGAATGAGAAATAAGTATGAATTGATTTAAACTATTAAGTTACATTCTGGGAACATGTGGATTAGTATTCATGTTTCGAAAGGTTGGTGGCAGAGTGCCACCAACCGGCTAAGTTGTCAATTCCTACATTTCCATAGTCGGGTGAGCCAGAAGGGCTCCCCGCTAGTTACCTGACTTAGCCAGACATTTTCCCTACTTAATTTCTACATATTAACTAACTATGATAACTTATCCCAAACATCGAAGAGAAGTCCTGGATTTTACGGAGAGGTTTCCTGTGTAGAAGCCGGTTGTCCAAGAAGGAGGACAAGACTAGGAAAGGTGGGGATAGAGCATTGATGCAGTCGCGGCAGGCAACGAGATGAACATGCAGCCCGGCTTCGCGAACTGCACACACTATAAAAAATATAGCGTGCCGCTATGCGTCACACCCCAAAGTTGAATGCTGTATGTCCGAATTGGTTTGATCATAGCTTTAAATAGTAAATACCCCCGCCGCAGCAAACCTGCAGACTAAGCGAATTTCCATTTGCCTGATTTGATTTTTAATTAATTCTATTCAAATAACATTAGGTTTAACGAGTACCTAGGTTTACTGCCAATCACGACGGTAACGAAGTGTGTTTTTTAGTAAAATATTAATAGTTTAGTATAAAATAAATAGTTTTGCTAGGTTTGATCCAAATATATCCATAAACAAGCAAACTACAACAGTTTACATATTCTCCAGAAGAATAACATGGGAATTTTTCGTTTACAATTTTCTCCGTAACCAATAATCATACAGAAACACTTCAATATACTAAATTATTTGTTTTTGTAAGCTCTTCAAAATGGTATAGAGAAAATTTGGGAAATTTTAAGTTTTGAGGGCCAAAAACGAGGAAAACCAATTTTTACCCCATAAAACCCCGTTCCTATGCTGGATCATGCTGTTTCACGAACTCTTTCAAATAAACGTAGGTTTAGAGGTTTGTACCAAATTTAATTGAAATCGGATCATTTTTGCTCGAATTATCGTGCTAACGGACACACACACATATATATTTATAAATTTATTTATTAATATATATATATATATACTAGCTGTAACCCGCGGGCTTTGCCCCGTTTAACTTCTTAATTTTCAAGATTATCTCGTTCGCATGGCTCAATCACGTCCTGGTTGAAGTTTGTTCGCTACGCTCACTCACCTTTAGGTTGGAGCTCGTTCGCTGCGCTCACTTGCCTTCAGGTTAGCTCGTTCGCTACGCTAACTCGCCTCCAGGTTGAAGTTCGTTCGCTACGCTCACTCACCTTTTGGTTGCAAATTAGCTGTTGTCATAAATGTAAAAGAAATAATAGTGCTGCACCCTGTTGGTAATTTTTGTAACTTTAATGCTATTGAACATCACAGAACAGAACCAACTTGTTTAATTGAAACAGCTGTTAAGATTCAATAATTTCATTTCTCATAAGGTTAACATGGGAAACTCCAGAGCCACTGGGGCGGAGCCCGAAAGGATTTTTGAAATAAGAATATGCCTATATGTTAATCGGGAATGTGAGCTATCATCATGCCAAATTTCAGCCCAATCCGACCAGTATTTTTCGCGTTCACTTGTCACAAACATACATCCATACATCCATACATCCAAACTTTCTCATTTATAATATTAGTAGGATATATATATATATATATATACACATATGAATTTGAATTTGAACGGATGGTGTTTTTGGCTTCTAAATGAAAAAGTAAATTGGTAAATTATTGGGTCCAATTCTTACCAGGAGACCTACGGTAATAGCTTATTACCTATATGGGAAATTCGCTAAAAATAAATTAGAACATCTAGTATTTTACAATTTTATATTTGAATAATCTGTCATCCCTTTGCCGAGTAAATTGGACGTATCAATGATTGTAGCACTACACATAGTATATACGTCCGTGAACGCGATAACTTGAGTAATTTTTGGCCGATTTTGATGAAATTTGTTTTAGGTGTAAGGCGGAATAATCTTAAATGAGCTCACGAACCAACATGCTCGGACCAAGGAAACGGGGTTTTATGGGGTAAAAAATGGGTTTTCTCATTTTTAACCCTCAAAACACAAAATTTCCCTAAACAAGTTTAAGAGCACAAAAATTTAAGAGCTTCAAAAACTAATAATTTAGTGATCAAAGTGTTTTTGTACGGTTATTAGTAACGGAGAAAATAAAAAAAAAACATAAATATAAAATCCCCATGTTATTCTTATTGAGAATATTTTAAAATGTCGTAGTTTGCTTGCTTATGAATATATTTTGATTAAACTTGGTAAATTAATTTATTTTATACTAAGCTATTATTTTTACTAAAAAACACACTTTGTTGTTTCCCTGTAGCAGCAAACCTAGGTACTCGTCAAACCTATTGATATCTAAACAATTCAGGCGGATGGAAATTTACTTAGTCGGCAGGTTTGCTGTGGCGAGTGTATTTATCCAAATGCTGAAATTGTTTTACAAACGCTGAATGTTTACAGCTGTTACGTTAAGCAAAAATGTTATACCAAAAGCTAGTATAGAATATTAGCGTCGGCTGCTAGACTTTGAAAAAATTTAAACTTAATTTCATCGGTGTAGTTATTAATTTAAATTTTAAATTATGGCTAGGCATATTTTTGGAGGTCATAAGAGAGGTTGTTGTACCTTTGGGCCTAAGTACGAGAAACTTTTCACCTTCCAAACTCAAGCCTCACTCTTGGAAAGTGAAGCTAGAGACTTGTACCATAGATGAAGTAATCATGTACTATGGCTCATGTACGATAAGAGCCATAGTACCATGCAGCACGTCATGATCCTGCAAACAGTGTCTACTGTTGTCATCCCTGCCACAGCTCTAAATTGAGAGACGTGTTCAAATCTTTTGAGCCCATAAATGCAAGAATTGTAGAATTTTGTAGTTTTTACATTCGATGAATCTCTTATCCAGAGATACTGTTTCCATAAGCAGGGAGTTAATAAGAAAACACCGAGAGAACAAGTGACTGCATGAGGCGTAGCTTCGCAGATTTTGGCAGCAGACTTCTGAATCTATACAGCCACACGCTCTCAGCCCTCCTAACTTGCGCTGCAAAGCATGTGTGAAATGGTCAGAGAAGGTGAGGCTGCTATCAAGCACAACGCCAAGAGTCTTTGACTTGTCACACAAAGTCACAAAGTCAAATACTCCCCGTTGAACACTCACTCCTCACTGGCTCTCGCTGAGGGACAACACCATGTCACGTGGTGCCGTATGCATCATAGTACACTTTGCCAAAAGGTTTTTAGTTTCTACCCATTTGCCCCTGACCACCATAGGATCTTTTCTAGATCAGAGCTTATGGAATCGAGTGATGGTCACATCTGGGATGGCTCATAAGACAAGTGCAGCTGTGAATCATCGGCATACAAATGAGCTGTACAATGTTGCACACAGCTAGAAAGGTCTGCCGTAAATTGAATAGAACAGGCCCAAGACAGCTGTCTTGAGGAATTCCTTGGTTTTAACAAGTTGGGTTGATGTTTCACTCTTTAAATGTGTCACTTGCAGCCTGGAGTCTAAGTATGACCTTATCCATTTCAAAATATCATCGTCAAAGTCATACTTGTTTATTGTACTACCTAAAAGTTGTTTGTAACCGTTGCATGTATACTGCACTACTATGGTTGTTACTGTACCTGTTGGTTGTGCCGACGCAGCAGTTCTACCCTAGCCTCCTGGATGGCCTCCCACAGTTTAGCCTCTGACAGTATCTGGCGACTCAGCTCCTCCACCGCCGGCTCACTGTTGAGGTCCACCAGGGTTGCCATGGACTCGTCAGCTCGTTTGCGACCACACCCTGCAACCACCACACAACAAACTTTTAGGAACAACTATACTAAGTTATTATAATAGAAATTTATTTAAAAATATCATTTATGGTTTTGGCATTCGTTTCAAATGCTTTAGGATGTACACAAGTAACATTTACTGGCACAAACATAATCAAAGTTTATTAAAGAGATAAACTAAAATAATTTATTTTTATTCTGAACAACTTGAACATCTGGAACTAGTCCAGTTTAGCAGGGAGTTTACTGTACATGCGGACTCATTGTTTTACAATGCATCTGAAAACAATTAAAGCGTAAGTGACTAAACATTATCGAATATATCACTTAACAAAACTTTCAGGCATGTATAATTTTTACATTCGGTTTGTTCACAAAACAGTAGCCTATATTTTTTATGTAAAAAATAATATTTTGTATTCCATGTTTTTTAGCATTATTTAAGACATATAATAAAATATGTGTACAGGGATACAGGTTCTTAAAATTGGTTTGTTTAAACTTAAATTAAATATGTTAACTTAAACTGTTAGGAGTTTTAGATCCAATGGAAACAAAAGCAGCTTCTTCAAAGCAGTAGAAGTTTAATGTGAGATAAATATCTAAAAAAAATAAATTCCCTTTACCAGCATAATGTCTCTTAAGTTTACAAGAAAAAATGTAGAAACGATAAAAGAAAATAGAGTAACACCCTACCTGACTCGACACCCGGTACCTAACTCGACAGTCTGTGTAACTCGCTGTCAACAGCTGAATAGTGCAAGCAAAATAGCAATTATTTCAAACATTTAGTTTTAATTGTTGAACATTCGACATGTCTTTGGAGATTGTTTACACGATATGTGAAAATAATCATGTAACTAATGAATTTATGTGTAAACACTAGTCGTGTATATATTCATTTATTAAAACCCGTTAAACATTTTAATGTGTTGGATAACTCGACAACCTTAGGATCCACAAATTGTCGAGTTAGTGAGGTGTTACTGTATACTTAATACCATCTCACCTGTAAATGCATTGCAGAAAGGCTTCTTTTTCTTGGGATCAAATATGGCTGCTAAATCTCCATCATAAACCTGAAAAGCCAAACAATCAATTAGCACTAGAAACAAAATAATGTGTTGTTTGGAATATCTTGTAAAGTAAGGTACTGTTACCCGAGAAATTCAGTAGGTAGTGTAGTTATACCGAATTTATGGCGAGACTAACATATAGGAATATGTGTACTAGTACTGTATTGCTGATTATTGACGTACTTTGCCACTCTTTGTCCCGATATAGCAGTCCCAATGCTCAGATGTAATCTGTCGATACTCTTGGGATGCAAGTTCAGTTGATATCATACATAACAATCAAGTAAAGTTGTGCACCTCTCATATATGTGTGTTACTGTTACTGTTATGTGTAAAATCTAAAATGGGCCAACAACATTTTTGCTTTAGCAAATTTCCCTATAGGGAAGTAGCTATTACCGTAGGTGACATGGTATGACCCAGGCCCGGGACCGATTTACTTTTTCATTTTGATGGCCCCAGAGGCCAAAAACACCATTCGTTCAAATTTTTATATATGTGTGTGTGCGATAACTTGAGTAATTTTTGTCAGATTTTGATAAAATTTGGTTTAAAGGTGTAAGGTGGGATAAAATTGAATGAGTTCGCGAACCAGCATGATCGGACCATGGGAACGGAGTTTTACGGGGGGTTTTATGGGGTAAAATTGGTTTTTCTCATTTTTGACCCTCAAAACACCAAATTTCCCAAATTTCTCTCTAGACCTTCTTAAAGAGCTTAAAAAACAAATAATTTAGTATATCAAAGTGTTTTTGTACGGTTATTGGTAAAGGAGAAAATTAAAAAAATTGTTCATTTAAAACTCCCATGTTATTCTTATGGAGAAAATTATAAAATGTTGTAGTTGGCTTGTTTATGGATATATTTTGATCAAACTTGGCAAATTTATTTATTTTATACTAAGCTATCAATATTTTACAAAAAAACACACTTTATTAGTTTCCTTGTAGCAGCAAACCTAGGTACTCGTTAAACATTGTTATTTAAACAGACTAGCTGTTACCCACGGGCTTCACCCCGTTTGACATCATAAGTATTAATAAAAACTAGATAACCTGTTGCTCGAAATCGAGCAAAACTGAAACTTGTATAAAAAAATAAACAAAAAACATAAACAGAAAGACCTTAATCAAAGAGTCACTCTAAAATAATTTATATGACTGATTATATAAATATAAAAATATTATGATGTAAAAAAATATAAAAGCAATCTACAATATTTAAATTTACATTAACTCTCATAGTTATCTCTTATGTATAGTAGGCGGGTGCACTCTCTGAGCACGTAGATGTCAACCACACACTGTATAGTGAGCTTTTGACCTAATGTAGCTCAATTCCTCTCTTGACGCCAACCATCACTACTCTTATTCTAGCATTGTTAAATTATTTCTTTGATATGTTCTGTTTTAGGCGTATTTAAATTAGGGGCCCCAACCCAAGTCTCCGGTTGGGAACATAAGAGGGTAAGCAAGTGGATCTAACGACAGATCTAAAATGGATACGCGTTTAACATAATTAGTGTTGGAAAAAACTATACGATTTATTTGGCCAGGTGATGCTTTGTTTTCCGCTTTAAAAATTACTGCGAAATCTACACAGGTAGTACCATTGTAGCGAGGGAAGACACTTCTTCTGTCTCTTATTATGCACATAAGAATCTCACTTGACTCCTCGGAGCTCTCGTCCCTACATAATGTCTGCCACAGTCTTCAAAGATTTGCAAATGGGTTGGCATTGTGACCCTATTTCCCGCATATTTTTCCATTGCATTTTTTTTTATTGTTCTTAGTTCTCCTTTGGGTTCTAGTGACATTGTCGTACTTACTTATATATCTGTGCGTATTCAGGATCATCACCTTCTTGAGGAATTAGAGGACCCACTCGGTGGTAAAACGTGTCACGGATCTTACAATTAATTGTAGATCCCCTGTGGAAATTTCTCATCTGAATGAGCTTTGGAGCTGACGATGGTAAAGGCAGAACTGAATTGACGAACTCTCTCCAAATAATTTCTGGATAACAGTCCTATTTTCAGATTGGGAGTTTCCAATAAGAACCCGAAGTTTATTGTGGTGAATTGCACAAATGAGGTAATCGAACCTTTTATTTATGGCAACAAAGAGAACAAACTTAACTGTCTCGGCCAGTCTTTTCTTGCTTAAACATATGTAAGCCACTACAATGTAAACATTTAACGTTCATTTGTCCGAGATTGGACTATCACAACGGTGGTACTACCACTATGTGTACCCATCAAATGTTCAATTGACAGGTTGATGCAAGCGGTCATGTTCGCGTTCCCTCCAGCCACTCACAGTTCTTCGTCGTACTGGCGGCATTTGATTTTAAATTGAAATTAAATAAGAAATTTAACCAAAAACAGAAAACACTATAAAGGAATTGGAATTTTGATACACATTGTAAATTGCATGATCATATGGTAATGTAACGGGTAACTGCCCTGTGAATAATCACTTTTAAACATTCACTTCATCGCATCGAAATGTAACTACATGATAATCAGTAAAATACGATGTAAGGTAAATCGATTTAACCATAGACAAAAAGAATTATATTTATCAAATATTTATTCTTAAACACTTTGTTGTCTAGTATTGATAGGAAACTCTTCATTATGAACCAGACTTAGTTAACAGATTGAAACAAAATATAAATTCCAGCTTTGCTCTGGAAGTTTTAAGTCCTGCAGTCTGTGGTTAGCCTTAAAAACTATTTCAAAGTACGTCCATATGTCATTTGTAAACAAAGGGAAATGAGTTTGATCAAATGTCAACAGATAGCACCACATTCCAAACTTTAGCCCTTAAGTGTACTTAAGTGGTGCCCTTTCTAAATATTCTGAGACGTATTTGCACATCTACGTGAAAATACCTTTAATCTGACACCTCAAACTTTAAAATCCATCAAGCCGTTATTGAGTTATGACAGTGAAAAGAAAACTGCATGCGTATTAATACACAGGGTGAATAAAAAGTCAAGACCCCCCCCTCTAATATTTTTCCAAGTAAATATACAGAGATATCCTTTTGGTGGTCAAGCAATCTTAGCAGGAAGTTTCATTTTACCATTTTGAAATTTTTGAGTGTCCCCCCAAAAGGGGTGGTTTGGGGGGCAACTCAAATATTTTAAATGTAAACCCCCTTCAAATGACACCTCATGTTAAAGAATTTACAAAAACTTAAAGAATGGTGAAAACTAGAGGTCGCTATCTCTTCTCTATCCAGAATGGTAGCCCGTCAAATGTTGTAAGAAATCAATGGAAAAATTGTTAATATTGGCTGCCATTTTGGATAGAGAAGAGATAGCGAGCTCTGGTTTTCACCATTCTTTAAGTTTTTGTAAACACTTCAAAACAAAGTGTCACTAAATGGGGGCTTACATTTAAAATTGTTGAGTGTCCCCCTAAAAGGGGGGATTCGGGGGACAACTAAAAATGTTTCAATAGAAACCCCTATCAAGTAATACCTCATTTTGAAGTGTTTACAAAAACTTAAAGAATGGTGAAAACCAGAGCTCGCTATCTCTTCTCTATCCAAAATGGCAGCCAATATTAACAATTTTACCATTGATTTTCCACAACATTTGACGGGCTACCATTTTGGATAGAGAAGAGATAGCGACCTCTAGTTTTCACCACTCTCTAAGTTTTTGTAAACTCTTCAAAATGAGGTGTCACTTGAAGGGGGTTTACATTTAAAATATTTGAGTTGCCCCCCAAATCCCCCCTTTATCTCTGTATATTTACTTGGAAAAATATTAGAGGGGGGGGGGTCTTGACTTTTTATTCACCCTGTATATATATTGATTGCTTAAGTTAGCCTGAAATAAACAAAATACAGTAAAAGAAACAAATAATCACACCTGATTTTAATAAGGCAATAAATTGAAAGAATAACAAACAAACAAGTACAGCTGAGGTATTTTTAACATTAGGTATATGGAAAGTTCCCTTTAGAAAGGAATTAGCCTACGACCTTAAAGGGCAATTTAAGAAATAATGGATAGTTTTGCGCAAGGTTTCTCGTCATGACGAACATTTTAAGTATATGGTTTATGGGGGTGTGACTTGTAGTTTTCTCAAAAGTTCATGGATACTTTTGGCTTTATATATAGCCTAGCAGAGTACCCGTCCTTCGTACGGGGTTGGCTTATAAGTGTAAAATGCTTATTGCAGTTATACTCCAACTTAGCGTTTGCAATGGGGGATGACACAGTTTGATAAAATTTGCTTCTTTAAATTTACGGTATTTATTATAGCCATAATGTTCTACCACTTGACCTACACAATATAGAAAAATAAACTATTAATAATTCCAAAAATATCAAAACTTTTTCATGCAATTAAAAACATAAACATAACTGTAAACAATCCTACTTTGACAGTTCTCATTGCCTATCACAGTTTTTTGTTGCTGCTTAGTTCAAATTAGGTGTTTTCATAAATGCAAAAAAATAATAGTGCTGCACCCTGTTGGTAAATCTTATAACTTTTTAATACTTTTGCATATTATAGAACCAACTTTTTTAGTTGAAACAGCTGACTAAATTCTTTAATTCCCTTGAAATATGAATACTCGTAAGGTTAACATGGGAAACTACAGAGCCACTGGGGCGGAGCCCGAAAGGATTTTTGAGATAAGAATATGCCTATATGTTAATCGGGAATATGAGCTATCATTATGCCAAATTTCAGCCCAATATGTCCAGTAGTTAAAGCGTGATTGACCTTCAAACAAACAAACAAACAAATAAACAAACAAACAAATAAACAAACAAACACACAAACTTTCACATTTATAATATTAGTAAGATTTAATTGAAAATCAATTCAGACAAATGGAAATTCGCTTAGTCGGCAGGTTTATTGCGGCAAGGGTATTTTAATAAGTCACACAACGACATTCATAAAACGCAAGAATATCAATACATTTTAAACCAATTTATGTAGCTTATAGCATACTTACATTTGTGTTATTGTT